ATAACAAAAACTATGATGCAAAATTCAAAAATATAATGCCACATTATAAGTACTATATATATGCATATATATTATATATATATTTTCTCACCTCCCAATGTATCTATGTTTTCCCTATAGACCAAGACCTTTAAATAATCTATGGTAGCTATAGAGATCTCCAGATGGTTGCCTGAGAAGCTCCCAGAAGCACCACTACTATATAGCCATCACTACAGGGCAGAGTTTTGTGGGGCCAGACAGTAGATTTGTTTTAGGAGCACCCGGAGAGCTATTTCCTTCCCAACCCCCAATATTCCCCCCAAACTCTTATTTTCCACCCCTATACAGGTACTTAAAATCACGGTGGTGATTTTCAATTAATAATTTAGCATGATATGGTATTTAAAATGTACACAGTACAGTAAGTCTGGTGGGAGAGACTCAGCACATTTTTGTATTTGATCTAGGAATTGAGAGACAGAGACAGAGAGAAACACAGAGAAAGAGAATGAGGATTACCAAAAGTAAACATCCTTACTTTATAATTTTTTCTCAGTTTCAGTCCATAATATATCAGAGGTTAAACTAGCATAAAATGCCAAGGTGGAAGCTTGGATAGACTTGGCTTTGATATGCCTTTATTTTCACTCTACTAGTCACTCTGGAAGAACAAAATAATAATAAACTTTGTTGGTTTAGGTTTTTAAAATGTTTCAAGGTGGACATATCTTGATTTGATTTATAAATCACATAAAGTAGCTGAATACTTTATCTAATGGCAAAGAATTGTGGGTCTGATCTTATTTTAGATCCATATTTGTAGATTCATGTTTTATATTTATACAATGGTAATATTCTGTGTTTGAAAGTTACTTGCTAGTATATATTCTTTGATTAATGATTGTGTCTCTTGGGGTAACTTGTAGTAAAATGCTGTTTCCAATTACATGTCCAATGGAATTGTTCTTTTCTAGCATTACAGTTGCCATTAATGCCATTGATTAAGGTAACATATCCCATCTCTATAATGAAAACAATTAGATACCTGTGTTAACTAGATGTTTGAAACCTAGATTATCTGGATTTTTCTAAATAGTCAAGAAAGCTAGATTGATAATGGAAAATTACATTTACAACTTAATTTAACATTTGATTCTTTCCATTTCCCCCACCCCCGTCCCATGAATGCAGCTGAATAACGAAAGCGCCTAAGTGCTCAGAGAAGCAGCAAGCAGCAGCCTCGCATACCACAATTCACACAGTTAGCCTCTTATAATAAGCTTCATACTAATCCCATCCATTCTCCTTCAGCAGGAAAGTCAGGTTTGTATTTTGCAACATACTTTTGGAAAAAGAATTTAATTCAAAACAAAAGGAAAGATTGGTTTTCCTTAAAATGTGTTTACGATGACAAGAAGTTAACACAAGAGAAAAAAGACACTTAGCTTGCAAACACTGTCAGGTCCACAAAGCATTTATTGATCTTTATATGAGGTGGAAACAATAAATCGCTCTTCCCCCACATCCACATTAGGAACTCCCTCATATGTATCTGAAGTTTCAAAGGAAATACTATAGTCTGTAGGTAAGATTTACTCTTTCTCTGTTTCTGTTCCCTTAAAACACAATCATCTCATCATTATCACTCCCTACAATAAAAATGCCTTTGGAGGCATTCTTTTGCTAAGAAAGTAAAAGACATTTTTACTACTTCTGGCAAATTTATGTATTTATTTGTTTATTTATTTTGGAAGAGACATTTTTTTAGTATGAATATTCATGAGATACAAAGCTAATTGTCACCCCTCGTGCCCATGATGTGAGGGCCAGCTCCATACAGGCAGCATACCCATTACCAGAAACTGCATTTGTACCCCGTGTCCCCCACCCAATAATCCCCAACCTCCTTCCCTCTCCCCCTTCCCTTTCCCCCCCACTCCACTTTGTAGCCCAAGGAATGTTCTCTCCCTCTACAAGACCAATGCAATACTGTGGTCTTTCTTTCCTTCCTTCTTTTTCTCTTAGCTCCCACATATGGCAAATTAAAAAAGACCCAATGAGAGTAATTATGTCTAGTCCAGATTTCTATTCAGTTATATTGTTTAATTCAGACCCCAATGGCAGAGTCATTTCTGCCCTATGTAATCAACAGTGGATAGGTAGATAAATATACAAATACATAGATATAGATAAATAAGTAGGTATAGATAGATATTTCAGGTATGTTATTAAAACAAACTTGGTTTACATGCATGAATACTATGATAAAAATACAATTTGTAAGAATCTCTGCATCCTTTTCTTTCTGGAAAAAGAACATACTCCTTAAGTTAAAAAACAAATATTTGGTATGACAACATTCAAAAATCAAGACATTGCTCAGACACAAATTAAAACATTCATACAGGGTAAAAATGAAATTAGAGAAAGATGACAAACTCACAACAACCATGCACTGAGAGAACTTGGTCAACTGGCATTTAAATGAGATTCGTTTTTTCTTTTGTTGCTGTCTACAGAGACCTACTGAATGAAGATCACAGGCTTCTTGCTAGTGCAGTGGCAGGTTCTCCTCAAATTTGCTGTTGGGTTAATGTGAATTTTTTTTCCAAAAGTTCTTGTTTTCCCTTGGGAAGACTTTATGCAAGAAAGATTATGGAAGAAAAATAAATTTTTTCTGAAGTTTCATTCCTGAAGTGTTTGCAACACAATCACAAGAAAAAATAGTAGGGGTGGAAATAATAAGGATTTTCCCCATATAACTATGACATCTCAAAATCCTGGCACAGAAAAGGTTAACAATAAATATTTGTTTAATGAAATAACATTGAATTTTTTCAAAATGTAGTTAGATCATGTAGAAAGAACTTATTTTTTCCTACTAATATATAAGTTGGCTAGATAGCGGATGAGTATTCAAGGAAAATACAACAGTTTTTTTTTTAATCCTGCAGATGACTAGAGTCATTTTTTGCTCCATAGACTTTTGCTATGGCTCATGACACAGTAAAGTCAAGTATGCATAGCAGACAAATACTAAATATATAATGAAGGAATGAAAATTAAAATAGCAGGATCTAATATTTGTTTACATTTGTCTATTCTCTATTTGTCTCCTTTGTTTTTATTATTGTTGTTGATTTTACTTATTTGGTTCTTACAAAATCTGTGTGGCATACTTGGAATAAATATCATTATATTCACTATAAATGTATTCATTTAACAGATATTTCTTGGTCAACTGCAATGTGCCAGGCACACAATAGACATGAAATTTGGCAGTATATAAAACAAACAAACATCCTGGCTTGATGAAATTGAGCAAAATTCACCCAGAAAAGGAAAAGGAGAGGACCAGAAGCTACATTTGATTGTGTATGTCCTGTGTGCCCTTATTTTACCATCCACACTGCCTTTTAACTGTATAAAGTATATTCAATATGACAACAAAATAGAGTACTATTTGCTTGGCTCCTAATACCTCAAGAGTTCTTCCATTAGTGACCTTTCCACTAGCATAAAAAAAAGTGTCAAGAAGAGCTCTAGCACTAAACAGAATCATATCAGACATGGAGAGGATAAGAACAGGGGTGTGTGTGTGTGTGTGTGTGTGTGTGTGTGTTTACATATATTTTTATATAACATGTAATATGTATTTATATATGTATACACACATGAGAGTACTTCAAAAGAGTTCACGCAAAGATCTGTATTATGTTTCAGTTCTATTTTTCTATGAACTTTTTGAAGTATCCACATATATATATATGTGAGTATATGAGGGTATTTTAAAAATATAACCTTTAAAACTACAAGAGAACAAACTAACACAAACACAAAGCAAAAAAAAAAAAAAATTCCCTCCATATGATGTTCAATTTATAAACTCCTATCTTTGGAAGGACAAGAGAAAATCTGAAGTGTAAAACTATTGATAAGATAATCCAAAAGTTATTTAAGCAGTGGATTCTACAAATGGAAATATGTACACTTTATGATTTGAGTATAAAACTGCTGAAGGATGAATCAGTGACACTTCAGACCTGATGTTATGTCCCATGGTCAGTGAAGCTGCCATGATTAAGATATATCTGGAGAACTAAGATATACTTAAAGAATTAAGATAAACCTAGAGAACTGCAAATAGCATGGCAATTTAAATCTGACAGTCACTAGATATACAAAATTACTGATCAATGACTGAATTATAATGATAAAATCCAGACAAGACTGTAATAAATTAGGTGTAAATAAAACCAAAATCTGGCGGCAGCCTTTGCACTGTTCTCCTACTATGCCACATTGCATTCTCCTTAGTATGGAGGAAGAAGCGTTCTCACTCTTGGAAAAGGAGTTAGAGAATGTCACCAGAGCAACCCTACCCTTTCTCTAATCCTATTTCATCCATATCATTTTTTTGACTTCTCTGTTACTGTCAAACATATCTTCCTCTCTTTGATAAGCTTTGTTTGGCCTCACGGGCCCTGGCAATTGTCCCTCTCTACTGTTATTGCCAAATGCCTTGCATCAGATATGTATACCCCTGATATTCTTGTTTACTCATCATATATTCCTGCTTCAAATCTTGTTAAATAGGTCTCTATCTCAGATGCAGTACTGACATCACTTTTCTAAGGCCACTAGCAACCTCATTTACACTGAGTTTGAAAGTACCATCCTTAAACTCTCTCCATCATTTTGCAAACATCAACCACTACTGCCCTTGCTCCCCAACCACCTTCCACCCTACACAAACAAGAAAGCATCCTGGCACCTACATTCTTCTGGTTCTTTCCCTATATTGCTTCCCAATTCTCTGTTATTTTTCTCTCTCTCTTTCACTCAAAAAACATGTCAATTTTCAAGATATTAGCTATCTCCTCCAAAGTCACTATCTTCAACCATGAGCTTTTACCCAAGCTTCAATCCCAACCTTCAATAGTCTATTTATTGAATCAATTAACAGGCATTGAACTAAGTCTGGTGATCCGGTAATACCAAACCCTTAAAGAACTCACAGTCCAGAGCTGACCATTTTCACCTAAATTCAAAAACTCCAAATCCAAGGCTATCATATTTCTTCCAAAAGCCACCTTCCCGTTGCCGAATTTTGTACTTTTATTAATGCCATCACTATTCTCAAACTCACTATCGCAGCTTGGGTTCCCTGTGAAGTAGATCAGCATGTGGGAAATACATTAGGGAGTATTCTTGAGATCAACACCCGTGAAAGAGTAGAGAAGGAAGCAGAATTGGACAGAAGAAGTTGGACTGTGATGCACTCTCAATGGAGACCTCAGCTGATGCTACATGGAGTTCTGACTTCAGAGAAACCCGACTTAGGGTGAGGGGGCCAAGTCTTCTTATGCCATGCTTATTAGCATGGGAATGAGGCAGAACCTCAGGCAAGGCAGCTCTCTCCAGCCAAGGCAACACAGATAGCGGACTGAGAGTCGAGAGCTGACTTTCAGCAGAATTCCTAGCATCTGGGAAAAGAAGTCCTTCATCCCTAAAGGCCATCTAGGCACTGCATCACAATGTCCACCACTCTCATCAAAGCTTGAAATATACAATACAGTGGAAGGAATATGAGGTTTGGAGTTAAACAGACCAATATTCTAACCTTACCTCCATCAGTAATTAACTGTGCCCATAAGCAGGTTACTCAACTTCTCTGAAACTAAATATTCTTGTAAGATTACTTTGAAAATTCAATGATACATATTATGAAAACACTTAACAAATGCCAGGTCCATAGCAGTCACCTAACACATTAATTCTCCTACTCCGTGAGTTATTTTTAACTATTTTCTTTCTTTCCAAGTCCTAAGAATTCCTTTAAATGGCACAATACATTAATAGCAACGTGCTGAGGATCTACCTCTAGCCAGAATTATTCTAGATACTGCAAAGACCACAATGAGCAACCCAGACAAAGTCTCTGCCCTTGTGGAGCTTAAATTATAGTGAGGGAACACAGTTTACAGTGAGGGAAGAAGAAACCAGTAAGATCACATTTGTTTTTAAGATATCTGGGAGAGAACATCATTTGTACAGAATAACCCTGAAATAGCTGACACCCAGAAAGGTTGAAAATATTTCCCACAAAAAGCATAAGAATGCTAAACAAGAACTATAAAGAAAGGTAATATCTAGAGGTTTTGGCAAAAATTGTGGCTGGAGGTAACTAAAGGTATTGGGAAATGTGATCACCAATATGCATATTGGTAAAATAACTGATAAGAAGGGATTGGACAAAAGCACCAAAATTTATTGATCACTTACTATATTACAAATGCTGTGCAAGGCATTTACTTTCAATCTTCATAATCCTATAAATTATTACATTCATTTTATAAACAAGAAACTAAGCCTCAAAGAAACTAATTTATCCAAAAATGCACAAGATAACAAGAGGAGTTTGTCTGACTCCAAATCTGTTCTTTTCTCAGAGAGTAAAGGAATCTAACGAATACTTTGGTCCCCAAGAAAGTAGTGAAGCAGCACAATGAAGTCATTAATAATAGTAAACACAGTATCTTCAATGCACCGTTCACATTTTTTTTATTTTGTCAATATACAATGTAGTTAGTTATTGTGTCCCATCACCAAAACCTCCCTCCCTCCTCCCCCTCCCCGCTCCCACCCAGATGTGTCCCCTCCATTTTCTCGTTGTAAGAGCTTCAAAAAAAAAAGTTGAGGTTGTTAAATCTTCCTCTCCCCCCACCCCCCGGTTTTTTGTTGTTGTTGTTGTTGTTGATGTTGTTGTTGTTGCTGTTTGTTTGTTTTTGTGTGAGTGTGTGTGAGAGTGTGTGGACTAATATCCAGAATATATAAAGAACTCAAGGGCTGGCCCGGTGGCGCACTGGATAGTGCGCCGCTTGGGAAGTGCATTTTTGACTAGAGTCTAGTTCCATAATGATCTTAATAAGAGCATGGAAAAATCTGTTTTTCCAAGATTTCACAATCCAAAGAGACAAGAAAGTAATTCATTCTTAAATATTCTCCCATTAAGAATGAATTCAGAATGGTAATGCAGTGCATTTTAAATAGAACCTTCTCAGAGAGTTAGTGACTCTCCTGGTGTGACTCTGTGGGTGTGAATGTGAGATATGGAGCTATGCTTAGAGAAACCACATTGTAGACATCCCCTTCTCAAAGCACACTTTATATCCACACCTTTTCTAAAAGACAAAAATTCAGCAGTAAATATTATTTTCTAGAAAATCAAAAACCAAGGTGCAAAAACTCCATACTTGAGCTCTCTTACATTGTTGGTGGGAATGCAAAATGTTGCAACCCCTATGGAAAATGGTTTGGAGGTTCCTCAAACAGCTGAAGATAGATCTACCATACGACCCAGCTATCCCACTGCTGGGAATATATCCAAAGGAATGGAAATCATCAAGTCGAAGGTATACCTGTACCCCAATGTTCATCGCAGCACTCTTCACAATAGCCAAGAGCTGGAATCAGCCCAAATGTCCATCATCGGATGAGTGGATACGGAAAATGTGGTATATCTACACTGTTCACATTTTATTGCATGTTTACTCTTGAATGAGAGATTATTATTATTATATATGGTTTAAGAGATGAGAAGTAGAGACAGAAAAGTTTTTTACCCAAAGTCAAATTGGAACAAAAATCAGAATGCAGCACTTACTGAATTGCAGTATCAACCCCACCGTTCTGCACATACACGTGCACACACAGGCTTACAGGCATTTTTCAAGAAAAGCAAGACAAGCACATTACCCAAATGAAGCACAGAACTTTAAAAGCCAGAAAAATTTTTTTGTTAAAATCCACTCATAATATCTCTCCCTTTGTCTAAGAGACTGCCTGGTGGGATGTGAGAAACTGAGTATGCATATTAACTCTTTCAGACCAGAAGCACTATTTGCTCAGTGCTTCTACGTAGAGGAAATTTGCTGTTAACAAGCATTTGGTTATCTAAAACACTCCACTTACCAGGATGTCCACACATTTATTGCAGAGTGATAATTAAGACTCATAAGGATAACAATGAGGCATTGACATACACAGGAGAACGTCTGGGATTATCAAAGACTGATTAGCAAATTTAAAATCACTTAATTCATTACTGTATTTTATTGAATTTCATCTGCTCACTTACAGGTTGATATTTCATATGTGATAGTTCACTGAGTCAGAATGTTTGATTCGCCAGAATTAATTTCTACCTTTTTCAGATAAGAGAATATCTGCTATTCTCCAATACGATATGAGATGTTTTGGTAGCCACCCATTACTCTAAATCCCATAGGCTCTTATACTCAAGAAGTGATGTATCAAGTCTGAGCCAAGGAAACCTTATGGTGTAACATCTAGGGACCTAAATAATGCATTGAATGGTGTAGCCGAACATCCTTATATGTTTCAGGCTTTCGTTTTAACTCTGAAAACATGATGTAAATACTAATTGAGCAGTCAGAACTGAGTTTCTCAAGGACTAACTGGTTTCCAGGTCACACAGTTCTGGTTTAGAAGTGGGGGAAACCAATCAGCTACACCAAGAGAGTGAACTGAATAGTGAAAGAGTAAGGCCCATAAACATACTAAATAATCTTAACATCAGATTTGTGTCCAAACAGGAAGGCTGGAAATGCCTTTGAATTATTACAGTCTGCTCTATTTGATATTCACTCTCGTTACCTCTCAAGACCTAATTCTCCATTCCCATGGATTGCCCCCAAACACATTAAACTCAATCTGATATATAGGCCTTTTAATATACAATTAATACCCTTTGTTTTATACCCTTCCAAGTCACCTTCTTAGTTTGGGCTACAAATTCATTATCTCCAACCTCAATTAGGCTTTCTATCTGTCCTGGTCAGTTTTCTTCCCTGTTCCTTAAATCAGCAATTTCTAACTTTACCACTTTTCCCAAAGGTTCTATCTCTCCAGTGCCATTATTATGTCCACTAATCATTACTGTAGGATAGGTACATGGATGTGCTAGTTTGTAGAGTTTTGTTTGATAGAATATTTGATAACACAGGATTTCTTACATACTGAAATAAAAACAAACAAAATAGCACAGTAGAGATACCATCTCTGTATCTTATAGAGACACACATCTCTTTAAGAGATAATATGCAAACCCTTATAAGTGGCAGTACATGTGTTCCCCCAAATAGTTTCTTTGTCTACGGAGTTTTTAATATAATCATACTAACCAAAGTTAGAGGCACTTTTCATAAAATCTACAGAATATTGCAAAATTCCAATTAAACACCAGGTATGGGAGTGTTTTGAAAATTATAAAGCATCCTAAAAATAATGTTATAATTATATTTACTCTTATTTGTGTCCAGGCTCATCCTTTCAAAAATCAGTCTGCAAAGCTCACTGAGCTTAAATCAATGGTCCTTAAAGTGTGAAATGCAGTCTCCCGTAGACACAACTTTCATGTGCCTAGTGAGCTCCTGTAGTTTTGTTCAAAATGTACAGTCAGGCCTCTTCATGGAACTATCAAACCAGATCTTCTGAGGATGAGGCCCAAGAATCCACATTTTAACAATTTTCTTCAGGTATGTCTTATGTTCACTATTGTTTGGTAGCCAGTAGCTTAAATGAATAACTGTTTAATAAGCCTTAAATAAAGCCCATTAAGGAATTGGTTTCTCCCAACTGTTCTATTTGTAAGGATGTTCATTCTTTCTCAATTCCCCACAGCAGCCCCAACAAATCTCCAGGCTTCAGAGATATATCCAGCTCCCCTACTTACTAAATCACTCCAGGCCTGAAATTTTCAATTTTATGAGATGTTCTGAGCTTACAGCACGTAATTCTAGATCTTCAGATCCTGTCCTGAAGTGATATTTGAGGACCAAGATTATGTCATTTCCACTTCCTAGTAGTGCATTTTTGGCAACAGTAGCCCACTTGCTGACAAACATTTCTTCCTCATTTGTCAGAGAATTGTGCAGAAAATATAAGCAATCCAGAGTGGAAGAGAGTCATTTCTTTTACCTAACTTCTTAAAATATAAATGGGCTACTCAGAGTCCTAGGAGGAGGATACTGTTCCATCTGCTCTTTTTTAACACAACTTCATTCTGAAGTTTCGCTTTAAATAGCAAGTGTAAGCAAAATGCAAACAGGTTTACACACTTGAGTATGTCTCTCATTGGCTGGATACAAAATCTAATTATTTTGTTTAATAGCACCAAACATACAACATAAAAATATCAAACACAGTAAACATTAACATAATTGGACAATTAAACAGAACATCCATTTATTTATTCTGAGTATTTTATTGAACATCCATTATGTACCAAGTTCTGTGCTAAACACCATAGAAACATAACAGTATCGAGAATAGAGTCAGAATTTAAACAAGAGGCTCTGGATTTTGAGCTAAATCACAGGCTTACGCATCAAACAAGGGCCTGTGAAGAAAATCCAGCCAATAGATAGCCTTTGCAAATATTCTCCTGCTTAAACCACTTAATTTTTTTTCTTTCTATACATGTGTAAAATCCCAAA